AATGAAGGCTGTTTGTACGTTTCGGCTGGGGTATTTCCGTCCCAAAATCCGTGCCTACTAATTCTACAAATACATGTAAGGTGTGTGAAACATACTACATCTCTCAAAATGATCTCTTTAATATTTGTGTATGATAATTTCTGGATAGAAGTTGGAAGTAATATTACTTGATATCCGGAGGTTTCTATTTGGATTTCTTACTCTATACTCGTATTACTTGGTATCGTCGTTGTACTTAAGGTATGTAAATTTCGACCATTCTGTTTTTAAATTAATTTGATCATATTCATATTACGAGTTGTTACGAGTAGTATTTGTCTTAATTATAATGATACAATGTGAGACGTTAATTTGTAAATTTAATAAATTAATTTCGTTAAGATATACTGTCAAAAAAATCATTAAGATATTTTTTAAATATTCAAGCACAATGTATAGACAAACTAGAAGTTGGATGTATGACCGATACAAGGAAAATGGTAGAGGATTGAAAAAAGAGTTCGAAAATGGAGTTAACGAATTTGTTAGATGCGCACAAGGGCAAACACGCTATATGGATGGAGGTAAAATAAGATGTCCTTGTACAGTGTGTAAAAATAACAAATTTGTTAAAGGTGGGGAGGTTTGTTGGCATTTATATACACATGGTTTTGTTGAAAACTATTACAACTGGACTTCTCAAGGAGAACCAATTGAGCCTGAGTTGTTGCTGCAAAACGTAGGAACATCGAGGTATGTTCCCGACGAGATTGCTAATTGGGGAAATTATGAAGAGATGGTATGGGAGCAAAAAATGCTTTATGATTTGGTTGGTCTTTCTACGTTTCCCAATATCCACACGGATAGTGAATTCAACGCACACAATAATGTGAACGAAGGACCAAGTTCATCATATTATGATGTGGATGTGTTAGGCACTAGATTTCAAGAAGTGCTCAAAAGTGCCGATCAGCCGTTATATTATGATTGTTATGATCATTCCCAATTATCAGCAGTTTCTGAATTTCTTAACATAAAGTCAGAATATAACCTATCTGAGAGCTGCATGTCCAAAATATTAGACTCAGTTGGTAGTATGTTACCTCGTGACCATTGTCTTCCCGATACTTACTACAACATGAAAAAGTTTGTTTCTGAGTTAGGTCTCCCTATGATAAAAATCCATGCATGCCCTGGAGGTTGTATGTTGTTCTGGAAGAACGACGAAACATTGAGCCGGTGTAAGTTTTGTAATGCGGATAGGTACAAGCCCATATCAGGTATGGGTCGAAAAGCACGAAAAAGATCTGCAGCATCTAAGTTGATATATCTTCCTTTAGCACCACGTTTGCAGAGATTATATGCCTCGAGCGCTACCGCTAAGCACATGACGTGGCATGTAGAGCATGACACTGAAGAAGGTTTAATGTGTCATCCATCAGATTCCGCAGCGTGGAAGCATTTTGACAGGTGTTGTCCTCAATTTGCTTTTCAGCCTCGCAACGTGAGACTTGGGTTATGTTCTGATGGTTTTGCTCCGTACGGTCAATTTGGAGGCCAGTTCTCATGTTGGCCAATTATCATTACACCATATAACTTCCCCTCGGACATGTGTATGAAAAATCATTTTATGTTTTTATCATTGATGTGTCCAGGTCCTGGTAATAAAAAAAAAGAATTGATGTGTATTTGCAGCCATTGATCGAAGAGCTGAAACATTTGTGGGAAGTTGGTGTTCCTACATATGATGTTTCGAGGGATCAAATATTTAATATGAAAGTTGCGATTATGTGGACCATTAGTGATTTTCCAGTATAGGGAATGCTCTCTGGATGGAGTACTGCAGGACTTATGGGTTGCCCCGTTTGTATGGAAAAATCAAATGCATTTTGGCTAAAGAATAGTCGAAAAGCATCCTACTTTGATTGTCACCGGAAATTTCTCCCACCTAATCATCCGTATCGAAAGGATAAGAAGTCATTCATCAAGGGTCGCAAGGACCGCGATCCTCCACCTCCGATTTTAACAGGATATCAGATTTATGATCGTGTTCGAAACATCCCTTCTACCATTGACGAACCTCTTAAGTATCCAGATGGATATCGCATTTATCATAAGTGGACAAAGAAAAACATTTTCTGGGATTTGCCATATTGGAAGGATCTTCTGATTAGGTATAATTTGGATGTAATGCATATTGAGAAAAATGTTTTCGATAACATTTTTAACATGGTTATGAACTTCAAGGGAAAGACTAAGGATGACCTTTCATCAAGGAAATATGTAGCTCTATTTTGTGATAGACCGGAAATTGCTATGGGTCCTGAGTTATGAACAGTGGTGTGAGCGTGTCGACTTGTAGTTATGACAATTCAGAGACTAGTTTTTTTGGATATGTGAATGAAATACTGGAAATGAAGTTCACTGGCAACAACAAGTTATCGTGTGTATTATTCAAATGCACTTGGGTGGATCCAGTGAGGGAGGTGAAAAAGGATCACAAACATAACTTGGTGGATGTTAATCACAAGCGTGTGTACCCGAAAAATGAACCTTTCATATTAGCTCAACAGGCTGCCCAAGTGTATTACGTTGAATATCCGTCGACGCGCATCAATCGCACTGGCTGAGTAAGTGCATGCACTATTAGACCGAGGAAAGTTGTTTCTCACGCGGTACAAAAAAACATTGACATTGATGTTTACCAACAAGAGTTTTTTCAACCCCCAGTTCCTGACATTATTGAGGATGATATTTTTTTGAATGATTGTACTCGAGCAGAAATAGAGTTTGACCCTAACGACGCCAACGATGGTCCGGACGAGGGAACTGATCAATATGAAGAAGAAGAATGGAACTTTCAAACAGAAGATATTGATGATGTTGATGAGTACGTTGACCATATTGACTCCGAAGATGAAGAAGAATGAATTGTTTTATTTCAACTTTTTTTATTTCTTGTCACGACTGTTTCCGAATAATTCAATTTGTAGTCTACACTGTTTCTGAGTTATTTTCTCGTCTATTTAATCAAATTTGGTAGATAATTTCTCGTCTATTTAACGAATTTAAATAGTTCAAATGCACATTTTTAAACGCAAACCGATTTTATTACGCCAAAAGCGAACGTTTTTATTACATTAATTTTAGTCAAAACAGACTAAAATTACTGAAAACTCAAACGACGCACAATAATAAGAATTACATAAGCAAACCATACACGATAATGATAATAACAGTACATAGTAAAATGATACACTTATTTGATTCTGCATAGTGTCTTCCGACCATCGTCTTCACTTTTAGCCTTCACTTCAGAATCTTCACTTTTAGCCTTCACTTCACTTCCCTTTTTCAATAACTGATTAATTTTTTCAGCTGCAGCATCATCAACAGACTTCATTAACTTAAGTATTTCTCCTATCTGATCAATTTTTTTTCCCAACTTATCAATATCACATCCCCATATTTTTTTTCCACTTGAACCTTCAGATTTTTCCATAATAAAGTTTTTCTAATTTCTCACTTTTTAACTATTTTTACCCTATTATATGAAGCCATATTTATAGTAGAGCTGAACAATTGGCAAGGACTTGGCTGAAATAATTCCGTCTCAAAACATTATATCCGCTAAAATGTATGCAATTGACACGGACTTGGCTGGAATAAATCTGTCTCAGAACATTATATCCGTTGAAATGTATGCAATTGGAAGGGAATAATCCCTGCCAAATCCGAGCCAATCCTGGTCTGACATAATAATTACTGACTGCACAGAGTTTCAGACGACTTTTAAGTTTGGCACGGATTTTTGAAAATTTAAACCGCACGTTTTTTTCGCGCAATTGGGAAAAATTTGTCCGCGCCAACTCGCAGCCAAGAGCGAACACTAATCCGGAAGGGTCTAGAACGGTTTTGGCAGTGCTCTTGCGACGGATATTTCCGAGCCAACGCCGGAAGTATATAAAATGTCCTTAATGCATTTCGTTCAAACCGCAGTTCATTCAATTCGTACAAACCCTAGCACCGCTCTGTACATACTCCCCCATACCCAGCCACCGCCTACTCCTCCGGCTACCCCTCCGGATACCCCTCCGGCTTCCTACTCCGGTGACTACGTACTCTGCCTCCCTTCTGTTTCAAGCCGCCTCCGAAGGTTGCCATGTTTCGAGCCACTCCGACGCTTGCAGTCTTTCAAGCCGTTACGACGCTTGCCCTCCGCTTTCAGCCGGCCATTTGCAGGTATTTTCAAATAAACTCATTATGTATAATAAACGAAGTATTATAATCTAGAAACAATTTTTTTTTAAATACTTTATTGTTTTTATTTTCTATTAGAAGTGTAATATTATGGGCACCTTAAAAAATGTTGCTAGTATTTATAATTTATTTATAAATTTTTAGACGAAGTATTATAATGATTTTTTTATTAATACTTTTTTAAAAACGAAGTATTATAATCAACTTATTACAATATATTTATAAAGTATCTATAAATTTATAAACGGATTATTTAAAAACGAAGTATATAAATTCTTAAATTCGTAATTTTATATACGAATGTAAGTATATTTTTATGTTGTTTATAACCTTTTTTTATATTACTTGGTGTAACCTAATTTTTTCAAACAAATTTCATAATTTTTGATAATATTTGGTTATAACCTAATTGTTTCACTGGTCACATTCTTTAATATTGCTATTAGCTTTGATAGAATGTCTTCTCGTAGAGGTTCATTTACTTCCTCCCGCGGAGGTCGTGGAGGTAGAGGTAGCCCACCCATTGTCCAGAATGAGCAGAACTCCCCTCTAGGTCATTCGCATGAGTCTGTCCAATCTCGACACCCTACTGATGATCATTTAAGTGGTTTTGATTCTTCGACCCCTGATGAATCCGTTCAGCAAAAGACTTTCATTTCATCCTTTGAAATGAGAAGGTAATGTAAAACTTCACAAGGCATTTTTTATATAATAATTTTGTATCTATACATTACACTTATATGTTCTTTTTTGATGAAGCAATCCTACTGTCCTCAACAACATCATTTCAATCCTCACTAACAATTTCCACGGGCCATGGCGTTCTTATATGCATGTGGACGCTGATCAATGCAACCGTTGGTGGAAACTGTTTCAGGTATGTTATAGGTACTTACTTTTAGTTTTTATTTGACAGATTGTGAGTTATGAGGTTGATGAAGTCTTTTTTGTATTTTCAGAGAAAGTATGAGTGGGATCTCTGCTTTGATACCAAAATGAAAAAGAAGTTCAAGTCTCGGGCCTCTGAATGGTTGAGCAAAAATATTGGCAGAGCTAGGCGGGAGAACAAGAAGTCGGACTGGATTGGAGATTGAGATTGGAAGCTGTTGCAAAAATATTGGGCCTCTGATGCTTTTAAGAAAAAGAGCCAACTTGGAAAGAAGAACATGAACTCTAAAGCTGGGAAGGAATCACAATATCGCGGTGGCAGGATACCGGTGACTACGCATGTTGAAAGGCTGGTGAGTTTAATTGTACGGTATTCAACTGCATTTTACCTTTTATTGATCTCCTATCTTTAATTCTGTAGACGAATGAGTTGAATAGGCCCCCCTTGAAGATTGAAGTGTTTGACAAGGTTTATGTCCTGAAATCGGGTGACCCCCCAGCACGTGTAGTTGAAACCAAGGTAAATTCTATATATCTATTTGTTTTCTTATTAATATATATAAAAAGTATATGTCTTAGTAATCTAGAATGAATATATTTGAACCTCCTATCTTCTGATTGTGCAGCAAAAATACAATGAGATGAAACCCCATGTTGAATCGCAAGGGAAGTCTTACGAAGAGGATGATTCTGAGCTGTTTTGCGCGGTGGTCCCGCTATACAAAGGCAGACGGTTTGGGACGGGATCTGAAGCTGAAGCACTGTCTGACCTTGAATGCACCAGCAGGATATCGGGGCCGACTCAAGTAGAAATCGATTCCCGCATCAAGGAGCAGCTCGAAGCCCGGTTTGCGCAGCAGAAAAAGTAGTGGCAAACTCAGATGGCGAACATGACTTCTGCTTTTACGGCGTACATGGAGCAAGTGCGAAGCTCGAACCCTTCTGTCCCGCTACCTGATTTCTCTCCTTTTCTTACCCCGACCTCCGCCCAAATGAATGGGCTACATGATTCGAATGAAGTGCGGATGTCTGATCTATTTGTGTAATGAACAAACTGTTTAATTTTCTGTACGATTTCTGGACATCTTCTGGCAATTTATTTGCCATTTAAAATTCTATTTTGGCAGTGGTTTATCTGCCTGGACTGCTGTAACAAAATAATCTTCTGTTAATTTGTGCACTTTCATTTGCTCTATAATGTTTATCTTTCATTTACTCTATATGTTTCCCAGTTAAATGTTTTGTTTATAATGATTTGAAGAAAAAAACTGTACACCGTACATATGTACGGTATTCCGTACATATGTACGGTGTACTGTTTTTTTTTTTAAATTAAATTTGGCACGGATGTCCTCCGTCCCAAAATCCCGAACGGGTTTCGGTTAAAAATTTGGCACGACCTTATCCGAGCCAACAAACGGGTAAAGATTTGGGTAACCCGGTTTATTCCGTGCCAATATCCGTGCCAAGGTAAATCCGAGCCAAATTTTTTGGGGTAGTAATCGGTGTTGTTGTCTCTGAAATTCCGTGCTCAAAGCCGTGCCAAGAGTTGGCGCGGATTTTTTTTCCCGTGCCAAAGCAGTTGGCACGAGCTAGGTGCGTCGGATTCCATATCTGTGCCTAATCCGTGCCAACAGCGATAGTCTGGGATTTTTGTGAAGCGTTCTGTGCCAAAATCCAACCCAATGACGTATTTTTTTGGTAGTGGCCTCGGCATACCAAATAAATTCTTACAAAGTATTTAGGTAATTAAATGTGAGAGAAATTTTATGAAATATGACATTCCAAATACAAACCAATTTTGCATCATCAAACATTGATATATTGTGTAAACATATACTCCCTCCATCCTAATTTGCTTTGCAAAATTTCCTATTTTGGTTGTCCCAAAATGGTTTTCCGTTTTCTACTTTAGGTATGTAAATAAGAATAAAGTGACAAATTTACCTTTACTTTTACTTTTTTCTCATTAACTTAAAGACATCTACTTTTAGAAAGATGAACAAAAGTAACTAAGTGTACAAAACAAGTACTCCCTCCGGTCCTAAATTAACTTCACACTTTGACTTCTCACAAATTAAGGAAATAAATTTGACTTTACTGTAGAGTATACTATTGTGACACTGTTTTGCACTGTTTTGATGAAGATAATTTGCCAAATAAGGAAGGGAGAAGAAATGTGAAGTTTATTTTGGACCTACCGAAAAAGAAAGTGTGAAGTTTATTTAAGACCGGATGAAGTATCATTTATTATCATTCTTTAATTCATATGACGGTCAAAGTTTGTAATTCAATTCGGGACGAATGAAGTAATCAATATCCACTTACATCGGCATGGGGACGGTAGATGAGAGTAAAGTGATTATTGTAGGCCGCTTTGATAATGTTAACACAGTAACCAATTTTGATTTGAGATATACGGACTTCAAAGCAATTGCTTTCCTAGTCAATATTAACGTCTCCTTTTTAGCTATCAAACTAATCAAAGTCATTATTCCCAATGGATACACATATCACATACTCCGTATTATATGATGTTGAATTTTGATTTTGTTAAAAATACTCTCTTTAGATAGGAGATTATATTCTTGAAGACGACTTGGCCAGACTGATAAATAGCTATCTTGGAGAATATGAGGAGTCTTGCAGATTAAAAGTAACCGTAACTATGCATGTAAAGGTAGGAAAAAGAGGCTAAATTAGGAATAATCTTCAATAATCTAACGAATTTGATACCAGATTTTTCTTCAAAATAATCTCTTCAAATAATCATAAGTTCTCAACAATGATCTCAAAAAATATCATCCACACAATTAAGATGATTCTCTAATAAACCTATGGATGAGGATGCCCTAAGAGCATTTCCATTCATGCTCTCTAAATAAACATTTTTTTTATTACACATCATTGCCAAATCACATTTATTCAATAAATTTTAAATAATCTCAAAGTTTAAAACTCTTCATCAACAATAATACTCAAATAATCAGTTTTTTCCGGACATGCATTAAATGTAATTTAACTATAATCTAAAATAATCCGGGATTGGAATCTTGATACCGGATTTTCTTTTTCAATAATCTCACTAAATAATCTTTCATTTACCATGATAATCTTTAAAATAATCTTACACATCATCCAATTGATCTTCAAATAAACTCATGTATGAGGATGCCCTAATTGGCAACTCTAGATAGGTCCAGATTTTTTTAGTAAAAGGCAAAATCTTACTAGATCAAAATATCAATATAGGGAGTAATATATAGAGATACATTTTGGTACTTTAGTTTAAAGAAATATAGATAGACGTTGATATCGTAATTTAATTTGGAAAATTTTAAAGTGAATATTTAATTAAAATATTAAATCTTAAATAGGATATTATAAATATATTACTTCTAAAATACTACATGTATTATAAACTTATAATAATACTTTAATGACGCTGTAATAAATTTGTAATAATACTTTAATGACGCCGAAATGACATTTAAATCCATTTAATAGAATATTATTTATTATGGTGTATGTTCGTTTTTGTCTGTAACATGAATTATTAATCATGGTATCAATTATAAATTCTTTTAATAGAATATTGTTCGTTAAAAAAGTTTCATTATTTTTGAATATTCAGCAGAAAAGTTACTGAAATTTTCACCGACGGTCACATTGACATATTTAACGGGGCAGTGACACCGATCACGAGAACAATGACACTAGTGGCGTCAACAGTAACACTGCAAGTCGCTTACACCGATCACGACAACAATGACACTAGTGACATCAACAGTAACACTTGAAGTTGCTTACAGAGGCATAAAATTGTACATACTAGTACTATTTTTGCAAATTTATTACTTTGTTAGTCACCTTTTTGTTTATATATAAAAGTAGTCACTTTTTTGAAATCCAACTTCAATACATAAGTATTTTAAGGAAAAACCCCTTAAATATTTGGCTTGTACAAAGGGACCACTTTCAACCATGATATGGTTTGCTCCGATATGATTTTTTCTTGTTTGATTAATTGTGACTTGATAGGTTGTTATGTGAATCTTAGGGAGTATTATTTTAAGATTTTTTTACTAATAAATATGTTATGTATTACTAGTGAATGAAGAGTTTGTTAAAATAATAAATCAATTCTTTTAAAATTATTTATAAGACTTTCTGTTTGTTTAATTTGGTTGTATCTTGACGTAAAAATTATAAGACTTGTCATTATTATTTATATAGTCTATTATTTTTAGTCATTACTTATTTAATAAGTTAAAAGAAGGTTGACAATTTTTCATTTTAATAACTACAGTATGAATGTACTATAATGTTATTTAAAAAATAGAAAAAAATACACAAATATTATTACTTATTTTAAACCCCACAAACAAAACTATGACTTATTGACCAACCTTTACTCCCAGATTGCCGTATGCGTTCTGTATTAATAGTCACTTTTTGTAACCTCACATACTATCACTAATATGGGAAATTACCATAAATAGGACTAAAAATGTTTATAAATTTTAAAATAGGACTATCATGTTTGTATTCCCAAAATAAGACTAATTATTGCCATGTTTTAATTTAGAAACACCAAACTTTACACATGATAATATTTTCCAAATTTGGCAGTAATTACTCTTATTTTGGGAATAAAAACATGGTAGTCCTATTTTGAAATTTTCAAACTTTGTTACTCATATTTCAGGAATTTTCCCTAGTAATATTTATCTAAAAGAACTCTTTAAAATATATCTATAAAAATCACATTGGTACTAAACTCATTCAACACACTAGATTTTAAAAAAACTTAAATAGATTGATCATATCAGACTAGTTTAGACTAGACCAATCAAACTAGATAACACTAGACTGTTGGATTGGACTATGGGGTTGTTTGGTTAGGAGCCTATCAGCCACTTTTTGGCTAATTTGACCAACATTTAGCCTTTTGACCAATCAATCAGCTAATTAGGCTGTTTGGTTAAATGGCTTTTATGTTTGGTTTTTTATCTCCAACAGCTAAAATATGAAACACCCATCACTCTAGCGTTTAGGATCGGCTGTTATGATTATTCCCGCGCTGCCCCGTTTCTTTTTCGTACGAACCTCCTACTCGTTAGAGAAAATCGGTAGAATTGAAAATTGCCCACACTCGTAGTGCTTCTTTCTATTACTGGTAGTTCCTAATTTATACAAAACATTTTTTTGGAATAATGAAATGAAATACAACGGCGAGCAGGCAGTTGATTCAATTCATCCTGCTTCATTCATACATATTTCTTTACTTAACACATGTATATATATGCTTAATAGCATTAGTTTCTTGATATGATTTTAATAATAACTCCATTTATTAATCAAAATATCATCACACTAATTAAATCTATCCATTCATGAAAAACGATGTTGAAAATAATTACTATTTGTGTTAGAGTATTTTTTTATTTTTGAAAGGATTAAAATGGTTTAATTAGTTATACTAATTATATTAATAAGAAAATATATAATCAATGTCCTTAAAAGTCATTTAACAAGTTATCCGCTGATTGTAAACACTCATTTAACCAAACACTATTTTACAAACAGCTAATTCTATCAGCTAATCAAAACAGCCAACAGAATATGTTGTCTTCAATCAGCTAAAACAATCAGCAACAGCCAACAGCCAACAACTAATTGTCAAACACCCCCTATAACATAATATTGCAGTCCAAAAAATAAAAATTTAGAAATAAGGTTGAATAAAATTTACAATCAATTTCCAACAAGTAATTATGTGGATAATATTTATTTTATTAAGGGGATTTTTGACCCTGGACCCCATATTTTGGACCATGTTTTATTTTACACACATTTTCAATATAATTAATGTGTGCACCCCATTTCAGCACAAAAATTGTTTGATTGTGCTCAACATTTCTCCACAGTTTTGGAACTAGTGGAGTGTAGTCATTCATGATTTTGAAAATGTGTTGCAAAGCCAAATTTTCCTACCGAGTATTTATTTATATAATACGAAAATAGCATCAAAAAAAGAGAATTAGTAGTTATAAAGGCACACTATATATTTAGCGT